TATTGGTTTTAGTGAATCTTCAATATTGGTTAATATAATGTTTTACAAAGCTAAGAAAAAGTTAGTATTCTTGGAATCAATCTATATGATGTTTGGAAATTATTTGAGTAAATTAATGTTTCATAAGATGCTATCTATCTTCTTCTTTAGATGATGATCCGGTTTAGGATTCCAAAACTGTATTCCAAAAACGTATTTCACCCCTGTATTTTGTTCTTGTATTTGAATGAAATCGATCCAGATGACATAAAAAAAAATCTTCATTTTTAACATCAAGTGCTACATACTTGATTGCCCCGTCAAACATTTTAAATGGGTCTAAAACTCAAACTTCGTAGTTAGAAAACAATATTATTTGCTTTGGATCACATATGGACCCATGAGGCTCTAACAATAAATTAAGCCTCCATGTTGGATAAAACACCGTCATCAAAACCCATGGGCCAAACCAAATAAAGCTTAACGATGCAATTCTTTTTAGCCAATGATCGGAAAATAAATAAGGTTGCTTCATTGAAATTTTAGAGAGAACATATCATAGTACCATGATAAACATTTTGTTACTTCATTCAATAGGTATAACCAGGTGAACATAACTAATTCCACGGTGAACAAGACGACCAAAACATCTTACCCACCAGATTTTCAAATGAGTTTTTTGGTCCAGTTCTAACTAATCATGTGCATGTCTTGATGTTTTCTATGAAATACATACTTGAAATATATGAGTTTGCGTTCTACATACAAGTCTCAGCTGGAGCCATACCATATTTTTCCTATCGAAGAATTGAACATAAAACTCCCAAGTGGAAACGCAAGAGAGCAACTAGATCAAGCTTTTCTATTTCAAAGTCATTAGAAAGAAAAGCATACATATATGATATATCCATAAGTCCAACCCATACATTGGAATATAAATGAACCACAAATAAACTACTAGTACTAAACCATCAGTTAATTTGGTGAGAAAAATAAAATAAGGAGGCAAATCTAATTGAAAAATTCTTCACTTTAAATTTATAGTTAATCCATGAATAACAAGGTTGCTCAAGATATGAACTTGTGATTTGGTGCTAGGATATAACAACTTTTTTTTGGAATCTCATATGACAATTTTCATCGAAACTACATAAAAATGTGTAACACAAGGCGGAATTAGTACATACATGACATGACGAATTTAAATGTTGCATATATATATATTTCTTGTCGATATATTTTGTGTATCATTTAAAAAATAAACAACCGATTACATGCCATGACATTATTCATACAACTTTTTAAACCGATTACAAGTAGATAGAAAGAAAAAAAAACATTTTATGAACCATAAACAATCGAATTTTTCGCTTCAATTGATTTTAAAGCTTTTAGCCGCGTCCACCTCTATTTCCACGTCTTTGGTTTCATGACCACGATTCGCAGGCTGCCAAGTCGATATATTTTGTTGCCTATAATTAAGGATTAAAATTCGACACGTG